AAAAGGTTTATACTTCACTTGATGTGGAGTTTAACTACAGTCATGTTGCACCACAGCTTCATGTTTAAACCTCAACCAGACATTCATTTGAACTGTCACTTGGGTTTGGTTTAATTTGTGGGAATCGTTTGATCTTCACAGGCAGAAAATTAGCTAAAAAAAAACACATTTCACTTAACGATAGATTCAGTTATCATCAGAACCAGATCAATCGATGCTGCACTTCTTTTATTTCCTGGGTTTTTACGCTCCACACGTCAGCTGAGAGTGAGAGACGTTTAATTTCATGGCTTTTAAAATGGCAGCTGGATCCATACTGTACTGTCAGCACGCCGCCGCACAGCAACTGTGGCTGATTTGAATATATATATTCAGCATTTCAACAAACTAAAATAACAGCTTAAATCTGACATACACAGATTTACATCGGTTAAAGTCAGAATTACAATCAGTCTTAAATTAAACCTGTTTAATTAGCTCGCTGGTGACTCAGTGTTTTAGTATGAATGATCTTCACAGTGTCTGGTTGTGTCTCACCTTACAGGCTCCAGGCAGCAGGTGCAGTTTGACGTACGGGTCGGCTAAACCGTTAAAGTCCATGGGCTTCAGACCCTGCAGAGAGAGACGACACATCACGCACTTTACTCAGGAAAACACAGCTGTGATCTGATTGGATATTAATTGTGAATGCTGATCAATATCACTCCGGTTACTTCTGTTAAAGGAGATTTCCACTGATTGATCATGTCAGCTCATGATGGACAATTTTTTAAAAAAGGATCAAAATCGATGGAACTGAACCAAATATTGTTTTTTTTTCCCACACATTCCTCTACATTACCCACAATGCACCGTGAGAGCCAACAGTTGGGTTGGAGATTGGGATGTGTAATACTCAAGCATCAACCATTGGGGCTGAAAAATGAAGCTGAAACCTGCAGTTCCTCTAACGACCACTAGAGTCTGGCTCCAACAGTGAGTCAGGCCCCATAGACTCCCATATTAAAATCTCCAACTTTACAGCAGAAATAAACATGTTTACAGCCTGGTACAAAAACTGTTTTGGTCTCTAGAGCTGATTTCCTCCTTCATGACACCTGTTTATATAACTCACCTGTTTACATTTTATTAAGGACTACAGTTATGGAGGATTGGGGGCGTGACCTCTTTGATTGACAGGTCAGTGAGCGTAAGTCTCAGCTCCACACAGGCCCCTCCTCTTTAACCATGCGTGTTGATTCTGACATTCAGATCTGGTCATTCAAGTCATTTAATCAAGTTTACACACTGGTGACAGATTATTATTAATATGTTTATTTATTCATGTTTCTAATGAATGTAGTAACCTGTGATTCCTCCCAGCCTCACTCTTCACTGAGACAGCAGGATGGATGGTTTCTCCTCATGGACAAAGGATCAGATGAAACACTTGATTTGAATCTCTCGACCTCATCAGCTGGAAACACATCATCATGAGAAATTGCTCCTAAATTTCTTTCAACAGCTCTGACATTTGAGGAGACGGCGGCCATGATAGATTTCTCCTCCTGTGAGCCTGTGACCTTACAGGCGTGCCGGCGGTAGATACTCGGCTGTAATGTAAGTTTAAATTACTCTCAGCCTGAATGTAAACCGCAGCATGCAAGAGTCTGACGAGCTGATCTTCAAGAGGAATAAAATCAAAGATGAAACATTATTTTACATTTTAAGATTAGAGGGAAACTAGAGTCACCTCCTCGTGGTCGTATCCCTCCGCTACTCAGACTAGTTCCAGGCTACATCCTGTTTATCCAGAGTCAGATAAAGTATTAACCGTCTGTGTGAAGTCTTGAGTAATGGATAAAAAGTGTTTTAAAAAGGTCACACTCATCTTGACCTTTGACCTTTGACCAATAAAATCTAATCAGCTCATCCTTGAGTCCTAGTGAATGTCTGTGCCAACGTAGACCTGCTGTATAATCAGACAACACATGGACATCCACCTTTGGACTGGGCGGAGCTTTAATATGAGTCTCAGTAACTGAGTGACTCTCTGGTGAAACAAACAGAAAAGTCTCATATTCATTAATGAAACCAGGCGGAGCTTCATCCTGTGGCTCTGAAAGAATGTGAGCACTGTTAGCATGTGGTACTGTTAGCACATCCAGCCACACTGCAGGTGTTAACGATGGGACAGGTGTAAATCCAAACTACACACAACTGAGGCCAACAAAGTTCAACTCTGACAGTGAGGAGGTGAGCTTGGCATGTCCTAAAAGGGCCACCGTACAGAGGGTGGATGCACTGTGTTTGTCTGGCACCAGCCTCCAGCAGAAATAAAAGTCACTGAGCCACTAAGATCCGAAAACGGGCCCGAAGGAGTGAACGTGACCTGGGACGAGGGGTACATGTTGTCCCACACCTGGACCAATAAACAACAGCTGATAAGACACGTCACAGCAACATCACCTTCTTCTTCTTCATCTTCTGAGGAAGACTGCAGGAAGGTAGCAGTCAAACATGTCAAGGTAAAAAACACCTTAAAGATCTTGTCTATCGATAAGAAGAAAACAGCATAAAGAAATAAAAAGTCAAAGAGAAAGTTTTGTTCTTCTAGCGTCTGACGAACATCGCAGCCCACCGCGTCTCAGTCGCACAGCAGCTGAAACACTGTAAATCTGCCATAATATGACAGGAGACCAATTCACATGTTCACTAACAGCAGGAGCTAATGTTCGTTTTCTGTCTGAGCTCTCCTTCATCTTCACAACAGGCAGCGCTGAGTTAATCCACCTGCTTCGATCTGAAACTGCTTCTTTCTCAGCTGCAGGAACCAGTCGATGCCGGGAGGGAAGTCATTGACATTCAAGTAGGTACTCAAATAAAGAAAACGCTGGAGGAGAGGACGGAGACAAAGCTCGGTGACAGCAGGTGCTCAGATCATCTGCTGTTCCTGAGATAATGAAGCAATTTAAACCTGACTTGTGTTTGTATCCGGGTGCTGTTCTCTAGTGTCGCTCCTCTTCATGGCGCGATTGTTCTCTAAAAGGTTTTCGACCTTCCACTCAGCAGGCTGAAGCATGAAGCTGCAGTGTGAGCGAGGCAGGACGCACAGAAACATCTCAGTCTGATCACATCTGAGTCCTGATGGTCTCAGTGGGACGTGGCACATGTTGTTCTTTTCATTATCTCAACCTGAGGAGACTCTGAATGTGTCACCTCACGAGAAATCAGCAGAAACAATCACAACCAATCCTGTATTTGAACGATATTGGAACTTTCTGCGCTTCAAGCTTTTACATCCAACTTGCGAAAACCAGAAAACACTTCCAATAAAGCGTAATGGGCTCGTCACTGCCCCCTGGTGGCAGCTGAAAACATAACGTGAGCAGCAACAATGAGCCCGTTCAACAGTCCTAAGCTTAGCTGGACAAACAACACAAAGGTTGGATTTACTCTTAAAGTGTTTTCAGACGGTAGGTTCAGGTTCAAGAGAAAAGACTGAAAACAACAGTAGCCATGTTTCCGTCACAGTCTTAGAAAAGTCAACAAAACACATTACGAATGGTCTGTGCTTCCACTGAGTGACGTTATGTGAACAAAGCTACGTTTTCTCCATAGACTGTAAATAAAGATGGATGTAACATGTTTATTTCTGCTGTAAAGTTGAACATTTTAACATGGGAGTCTATGGGGACTGACTCACTGTTGGAGCCAGACTCTAGTGGTCGTTAGAGGAACTGCATGTTTTTGATTCTTCAGTGTTGGCGTGAGTTTTCAGTCTTGGTTGATGCTTGGGTTTCTCCTCTCGTGATATCGTTCCAATTCAACATGGCGAAGGGTTTCCGCCATCAGATAATTGTTGGAACGACAATCCACCGCAGCAGCTGTTGTGTTTAATGGAAGGCGTCTGGTGCATGTAATGACTGTCAGCTGCGACATGTGTTTCCATTTCACTTTTGCAAAATGTTGCTTTGACAAACTGTTTGAAAAACTACCTCATGTGAGCATTTTTTTAAAATTATTATTTGCAAGATTTGCCATTTCAATCACTTGTTTTTTAGTTTGCATTTTCACAGTCTCAAACAGGAACTAGATCCAGCCTGAACCGCACAGTACCACCGCTGCCATGAGCAGGTCCTGTAGAGAATAAGAGGTCATGCAACATCAACACTGCTGTCTGGCTACAGGGTTGGAACCAGCAGCACAGGTTGGCTGCACTGACCTCTCGCCAGCTTTATTCTGTCGGATCACGTGCTGCTCGTCGTTCTGCTACCTCGTGCAAACCTTTCAGAGCCAATGATATGAGACCACGTCAGAGGAGCCACAGAGGAATTCAAATTTATGTGTCAGAAATAATAACTGACACCTGCTCCAGAGGGAGTGACAACAGGCTGCTCCATTGTACATCTACAGCTCAGTCTGAGCCCAGGTACAATTCACCTGACATCTAATCTAACTGTTACTGAGACGAGTGTGTGTGTGTGTGTGTGTGTGTAGGTATCTGCTCAGCAGTGATTTCTGTAGTCCTGGACTCGACACCTGCTCTTCACACCAAACACAGGTTTTCCTGCAGCAGCCTGAGGCTCTGCTCCTTATCTCCTCCCAACATTTAACACCTGCTCTGAGCCTCAGTGTTTACAGGTCAACGAGACCAACGACCCCTCTGACTCAGCAGCAACCAGACACTCAGATACTCTGTTTGCTGACAGTATGGCTGCTGCTTCCACCTGCCTCAGATAAACATCATGTCGCCCATATCTGGGCTTTTATGCAGAGTGCGAATTTTACAGTGACAATCAGAGGGCGTCAACTTTTTTAGAATCTAGCTAACATTAGTTAGCTAAACTGTAGCTAAAGATTAAAGTTAGAAACTAGCTAACATTAGTTAGCTAAACTGTACCTAAAGACTAAAGTTAGAAACTAGCTAACATTAGTTAGCTAAACTGTAGCTAAAGATTAAAGTTAGAAACTAGCTAACAGTAGTTAGCTAAACTGTAGCTAAAGACTAAAGTTAGAAACTAGCTAAAATTAGCGTCTATCTGTAGATACTTCACAGAATCTAATTGAGGAACTCTGAGGGTAGGAAAGTAAAGTGTATTAAACAAGCTACATAGTTAGCAACTGCTAATTAGCTTTACCTACAGTGTCTCAATTTGTTTGTGCGACACATGAGAGCAGAGACTAGAGGACAGGAGCCACTGATGGAGTGAGGAACACATTCATCTAACGTCAAGGTATAGAAATGGAACGATAGAAATGGAACGATAGAAATGGAACAATAGAAATGGAACGATAGAAATGGAACTATAGAAATGGAACTGTCCACTTGAGGTGTGTCTGAAATCGTATTACAAGAATCTTCCAGACATGAAAATGGGAATGGGAATATTTACAATTTCACGTAAGTAGGATATATAAATGTTCCCGCTCCCCAAAACCATTGTTATTACCTCTTTTGGGGGGTAAAAGTTCTAATCAGGGGGGTCAGACCCCCTCAACCTCATAATTTAAACCCTGGTTTCATGCTTCATTCTCAGCCACATTCACTGGGTAAAAGTCTATTTTCCAGTGAAATTTGCAGGAAGAATCAGCAGAGGAGTCTGAAACATCACGGGTCTGAGTGGATCAATAAATCTGAATTTGCACTGAAACACTATCAAGGATTTTATGAATATGCTCCACTGCAGCCTCCATAACTCTCTACACAGTGGAGGGGGAATAAAGGAAAACTAATTCCTTCTGATTCACGTGGGATGAAGACGGATTTCATTTATGATCAGAGATGCAAATCTCCAGGTGATACTAGTCCTGTGTGACTGGAGTCTAATTACATAATAAACTATATTTCCCTGTATTTGTTTTACAGGCGGGTTATGCTTCATCATGAGTTTGATCGATGGCACAGAGGTCGCAGAGTTCGTCCCAACACTCTTTCGGGGGGGGGGGGGGCTCCTTACCTTGGCCCGGAGCAGGGTGCAGTGCAGCTCACTGGAGCTCTGCTCGTATCTCAGCTCAAACTCCAGAGTTCCCAGAGCAGCTGTGGAAATAACAAACGGAGGCAGAGAGGAGAGACACGATTATCAAAACTCATTAAAAAAAAACATGATTTACAACCATCGCATCAGCAGACAGAAAAAAATGACACTGTTCAAAAAATCTGTCAGGATGAATTGAAAGCATGCGAGAGAACAGAGGAATATCTGAGCCACACCAGGCATTCAGAGGGTGGAAATCCAATTTAGTGGAGCAGCACCTGTCGTATTAATGTGAACACAACACATCACATGTCATCACGGAAAATCCTCTTAAAAGCAGAGCAAACACATTCGTCATGGCTGGTTACAAGCGTGCATACATACTGTGAAAAAACACAAACATGTTCATACAAGTGACGCACAACAAACAAGCCGCTGCTCCCGCACTGTGTTATATAAGACCATACAGTACGTATGATTCACAGGGATTACAGCTTTATTTTAGGCTCCAACTCTCATAAATAACAAACCACTGTTGTGTTTTCATGTTAAACTATGAGCTACTGTAAACTGCAGAAAGATTCATCTTACTGCAGCTGCTCCAACAGGCCTGTTGAAACGGACTCAATCAGGCGACTAAATACAGACACGAACAACAACCACAAACAAACAACACGACTGTAAAAAGATGCAAAACAACCACGAAGAGACACAAAACGACAGCGAGATACGAAACAACCACCAGCCACAAAGATGCAAAATGAGTGACACGATGTCGTCAGACCGATGAGCACAAAGAGACTTGAGCTTGTTGCTCGTCTTCGTCGGCGTCGCAGCAGTTTTCTGTCCTCAGCTCTTTATTTAAAGGATTTCTGGAAACAGAAACAAGCTGCTGTTGTTTCCTCTCTGCATTAAATTAAATGGATATCAGCGCCACAGCTGCTGTCTGACAGACATTTTATTTTATTACTGTGTTTGTGAATCAACAGCAGCTTCTGACTGTGATGTTTCCTCACTGCAGTACATTCACGCAGTACTTCACTTCAGTACAAGTTTGAGGTACTAATGTTTAAATACTTCTGCTTCAATACAATTCAGAGGGGAATCTCGTACCTTTATCTAACAGCTGTTACTACGGTTTTCCATGAGTTTATGTGTGATGTTAAGATCTGTTTCTGATTCGGACTCTTCATATCGTCACATTTCAGATGTCTGAGTTTGTGTTTCCATCACAGAGACAAACACGGATTCATTTAAATAAATAAATCACACATCAGTGAAACAAGCTGCAGTCGGCCATGTTTTCCTGGAGAACCACTCCACGTTGAATCTGTGATTATTTCCACCAGATCTGGTTTGTATCCTGCAGCTGGTGAGAGTGAGGAGTTTAATCTGCAGTCTTTCCTCTAACGACTCTTCTTAAATCAATAGTAAACCAATCAAACAGCAGCAGGAAAACAGGTAGTCAGCCACACCTGCATCACATCTGTATCATTACCATGTGGCAGCGTCTCGGATGATGAAAAGTCAATTTCATGACAATCTATACAATAGATATTTCACTCTAAATGTCAGCCTCATTGTGGAGACACAGGAAAAGTCAGAGGATCGTCAGAGTCGAGAGGATTCATCGACTGACGACCACGACTGTCAAGTCGATCCATCTGATGGTTGTTGAGATATTTCAGTCTGGAGCATCAGCTGACTGTCGTCCATGGACGGCTAATCAAATATATTGATGAAAAGAATGGTTTATAATAAGGTTATCAATTCAGTTGTTTTTTATAAATCATAAATAAACAATTATAAAGAAGTTATAAAACAGTTTTGGCTCACTATTTGGCAAGATCAAGTTAATGTCACTACTCTTTGATCTAATGAGTCGCCACCATTTATAACTGGTCACACTACACATGGACAGAGACCTTTACACTGGAGGAGCTTTAACCCTGAGCCGAGCGCTGCGAGAGTCTGAACAGGAAGTAGAATCTGGTCTCAGTCATGTTTCCTACAAACACATTTGCTGTTGCAGTTTAGTGTAGAAATGTAGTTTCTAGGAGACAGAGTTTCAGAGGTCCTCAGTGAAATGAGTGGACAGATAAACGGACGTGTCAGTGAGAGGATTCTTCTCTCTGCTGATTTCACTCCTCAACACAACAAACTGCAGAGATGAAAAAGCTCTGCGTGCTCTTTCCACTCAGATCTTTCATGCAGGTTTTTTTTTTGAATGCTTACGGTTCAAATTCCACCCACTTACAGCAGCCCGGGGCAGAGACGCCTGGCTGCTGTAATATCTCAGTGAAAACATGGAGCACAAACAAATGCAGTCCTCCACCAACCCTAAAAACACCACTGCAGAGCAGCAGCGCTCTGCAGTGATGAAATCTGAGCCTGTGGGTGAAATCTCTGACGGACTCATTTGTGCACAAAAGGAGGAATTCTCATCAAAATGTTCTTTGTTACTGAAAGTGTCTTTTATGTTTGATCAAAGCCTGGAGTTTTAGTTACACGAGACAGACTGTCAAACTCTGACGCTGCGCTCCTCCCTCGGGCTCTGACGAATCTGAAGCCTCATTATTAAAAAACACAAAAAACTAATTATCGACCAATGACTGGAAAACAAATCTGATAATAAATATGTGTTAATGAGGAAATTAAAATGGTAAAAACCTCTAATTAGTCTCTGTTTTAGAGCCGATCTGAATTACAGAGAAGCCTGAAAACATGTCAGAGACAAAGGCTGCTCTGAGACCAGCGTTCAGCCCGAGTCATTTATCACAATTTATTCTCATTCTGCGACTAAAGGGATGATAGAGAGCATGAAGGAGTGATCTCTTCCCTGCAAGAAGACAATGATTCTTCCTCTCTCCTTCATTCTCCTCCTGGAGAAAGACTCAAACACATCTCAACGTCTCTCCAGCAGAGGTGGTGTTTTATCTGCAGCCTGCCGCCTCATCAGACACCGTCAGTGTCAGTCACTCCAGCCCCAGCAGCTCGCACCGAAACAACACGCGTGGAATTCAATACTTCAATATTGATATTCGATATTGTCTGAAAACCGCATGTGGCCCTGGATGCTTCACGTGTGACGAGCATTTGTCCTCAGCTGTTTAGATCATACCCCCCCCCCCCCTCCCTGACACCTTCATTTCTTCTCATTTGGTGAAAACTTTCACTTGGACTCCAGGACAAACTAATTCGATTTTGGTGGTCAAAGGTCAAAGGTCACGGTGACCTCACAAAACACTTTATATCCATTACTCAAGACTTCACACAGACGGTTCATATTCTCTCTGGCCCTGATAAACAGGGAAGTGACTAGGAACTAGTCTGAGTGGCGGAGGGATACGACCACGAGGAGGTGATAGTTTATTATGAGTTTATCAAGATATTCTATACTTTCATTTCTTTACTCATATCCTTTCATTCATATCTTGTTTTTATTTGATTGTAATCAATCGACTGATTCTGGATTCAACAGCTTCTCGCTTCAGGAGAGACTCTTACTGATTAATATCCTTCACAGAGTCCCTGTGTTTTCAGACACACACACAGACACACACACACACACACACACACACACACACACACACACACACACACACACACACACACACACACACACACACACACACACACACACAGACACACACACACACTCACACACAGACACACACACACACAGACACACACGTGCCAACAGCGAGGCTCACTGCAGTCGTCACTGTCGGAGCTGTTGATCTCCACCGACGTGTCCACGCTGCTGGTCAGAGACAGAGACCCGCCCCCGCCCGGCCTGCCGTGGGCCAGCAGAGGAGACAGGAGGTGAGCCCCGCCCATCCCGGAGGCCACGGGGCCAGGGCTGAGGGCCAGGGGGGAGGAGGCGGGGATCGGGGAGATGGGGGTGGGGGAGGTGGGGGACAGGCGGGGGAAGTAGGCGGAGATCTGTCTGATGGGTCTGATGGGGCCGGGGCAGACGTCTATGGCCATGTGTTCCTGGATGGAGATGCTGAGCTTCTTTCCTCTCCGCACCGTCATAGAGTCTGAGAGGAAACAACAACAACAACAACAACAAGTCAGTCTCACAGCAAGGTCTGTTTAGTGGCTGGAGCTTTCTATCAGAACACATGACATTCACAAGAAGGTGATGACAAAATAAAGTAAGTTTAATTAACTTTTCAGTTTAATTTCACTTTAGTTTAGTTTCAGTTTAGTTGGAGTCCCGTTACTTTCCACTGTAGTTTCTGATCTTCCAAGACACTAATCAGCTTATCAGAAAATTATCAGACATTTTTAAAAAATCAAATAAATGTAAAGGAAATCAAACAACTTGTTCCAACTGGATTTCATAGTTTTATATTTGTTAAGAACATTAATGGTTTATATCCATGCAGGAAAAAACAATCATTCATTCATCACTTTCAGGAGAGCATCAAGTCTTTCCAGCGAGTCCTCCGCTCTGTTGTTTACATGTTAAACTTTAGTCGTAAGTGAAAAAGCTGCCTGAACCCAACATGATAAAATAAAAACAAAATTAATTCTCTTAAAAAGAGACTCAGTCTGAGTCCGACCCAGTCCACATTGACCAGGAGATAATTAGGCCCCGTCTGAAAGGCAGCGGACCTGAACAGATCCAAACGGAGAGAGCAGCAAACACTGCAGCGCCAATTAATGAGCAGCCGTGGTGGAAGAGGTGAGTAATTCATGTTATTTCACTTCTGCTCGCTGTAGTTTCTTACACAGGAGATACATTTGTTGGGGACTATTTTCAGCGGTGGATTAATCCACCTTGGTGCATCCACACTAACACATTTTAGTTTTAAAAAGCATCTCTTTTGCTACGTTTACGTCTGGCGTCCTCCGGAGTTTTCAAGCCTCTTAAACAGAGACTTTTGGAAACGATGATGCTGACAATTGCGATCGCTTCCTGATTGGGTCTTATCAGTCACGACGTGTCCTTCCGTGATTTGTCAACGCTCCTATCATGTGACGGTTTTCCAGAAGAAAACAAACAGCATCAACTTCGACTACAGTGATGAATGCAACATGGACAATGAATTACCAGCCTTATTGACCTAGTTGTCTTTGCTAGCAGCTAATGTGCAGTTAAAGGTCCCATATTTAACTCTATTAACAACAGGTCAGTGAGCCAATCAGAAGAGAGGAGGCTCTGAGCCTCTCTTCTGATTGGCTGACTGTTTTCTGAGTGATCCAATAAAAATACAGCAGATTTCAGGTAAAAACACTCAGAGAAACCAAATCCTGCAAGGTTTGGATGGTGGGTCCAGGTGGGCGGGGCTTGGTGACTGCTTAGTTGTGACATCACAAAGTTCCAGAAGTCCTGACGGCTGGTTTTAAGGCTCAGTTTCTGAATACAGGCTGTGTGCATTTCTCTGTGGACTGAGGCTTTGATACTTTCACAGTATTAATATAGAAGCTAGAGCTGATCTATAATCACACTACACATGGACACAGACCTTTACACTGGAGGAGCTTTAAATTATGAATTTTATAAAGTTGCACCTGCCTACATGTGCGTTTAAAATGCTTGTCTAGATGGAGACTATTTTCATTGTTAAAACACACTTTTTAAATCTTATCTTGGAGCTTTATGGCTCAGATGAAAGAGATATATCAGCCTGTGAGACACAGATGCTTCCTGTCTTTGTTGGATTGTCTCAATACGGGAGATTTACTGACAAAAAGCAAAATATAGAATATGACTATGACCCTTTAAGCTGAAAGCTGAGCTGGCAGACACTTCACAGCTCACATCCTCATGTTTTTGTAGACCTGACAACACTTCCAGTCCTTTTCACCAAACTGTCTCTGCAACAGTTGGGCCTCATCATCTCTGCTGCACCGACTCGACCATTCAATTTCTGATTTTAATGGAAACACGCAGCTATTTTTAGACCTATTTACCAGGTCTGACACAATTTAGCCCCGACAGCTTCCTCGGCGGCGCGCTGCATGTAGCTGACAGCAGATATTTAATGAGGAGTGTTTATGTGTGAGGTCTGACACATGGAAAGAAATAAATTGAATGAGTGAGACTGGGTTTACAAGGATCGTATTTGAGATTGAGAAACAGAAAGGAAAGGTGTGTCGCACTGTGATGCTGAAACCAGTTCACTGAAGACACAAACCAGTTTAACCACAGTCCTGCTGTACAGCTGTGTGGATATAACAAAACATATAGGAGCCATACACAGACCAGGATGCAAAGAGGTTTCTGTTTTCCTGCACACACACCGCTCGAGTCAAAAACAGCTTCAATTCAAACATCATAGAAGATTTTCACCTGTGAGGACCACAGTCTGACATCATCGCTCACAGCTCTGACATCATCACTCACAGCTGTGACGTCACCACTCACAGTCTGGCAGTGAAGTGATGCAGACTGATGACCTCATTTACAACAGTATTAATCTTCCAGTACTGATAACCGTGTTACAGAGAAGTTTGCATGCATTTGATTGGCCCATTAAGACGACATGTTAACCAGCAGTCACTGCCAAGCTGCTGCTGAGATCCTGATTTTATAACCACGACGTCGTCAGACAACATCACCAAACACTCTTCTGAAGAGAAAGTAGCTAATGTTTGTCCAAAAAGTTGTTAGATTTGTCGCAAGGTGCTTTTTTGAAAAAAGTCTGAAAAGTTAATCTGGTGAAAAAGGCGCTAAGTTAGCAACACTGCCTGTTCGCACCAAATCATTTTGAAAGAGCAACGAGCAATGCTGTAACTTGGTCACTCAGTCAGTCAGTCAGCGACACAGACAGATAGATTTGAATGAAAGCACCAGCTACAGCTACTGCAGTTCACTACAAGGTCAACAATAAGATTAGATATACAGCGAGCGTATATCTAATCAGTTTAAATGTCTTTAAACTTTAAACTTTACAACATGTGCTCAAAGTCATTTTAAATTCAAAAGTTACACTAATGTTGAAGGGAAGTGCCGTTCCACCTCGGCACTGAGCAGCTGATGATGGCTGCTTATAATCTGAGGTCATTCCTGGTGGATAAACAAAAATGACTTAGTACTGAACACAGGGTTTGACAGATGGACCTGTTCACCACAGTCACATCCCAACACTACCAGTGAGTCAGAGCTTCAGCTTCGGGCTCTGCCTGTGACCTTTTCCAAAGTAAATTTACTGGTCAAATCTGACGTCAAGGACCCCCCATCCTCAGACGTGATGTGCCAGACGACTGCGGCGTCCAGGAGAGACTCGGAGAGGAGCCGCTGCAGGGTCGAACGGGCAGACGTGACACTGAGTCATCTCACAGGCAGAGGTGAAAAGTATCATTACAGCGGGACTCCGGGCGTCCATGACTTACTGAACCGTGATAACCTCATTACAGACGGGATTCTTACAGAAATACATATTTATTATAGTTTAGGGGAAGAATAATTTGATAGAGATGATCTGATTTTGTGCAGATTGGTCTCCATGTCCATGTTTGAGAGCTGAACAGACGCTGATCTATGAAACTTAAGTGGAATAAAGTGGAATAAACAGAACAATGAACATTAGAGTGAAGTTCTAAGCCCTGGTTTAGAAGAAGAGAGAGTTGGCGCAGACTCGTTCCAGACATGTGGAGCGTCAGAAACTAAATACTGCTCCTCCATGTTGACTTTAGACTCTGGGGAGAGTAAAGAACATGAGCAACGACAAGAACAATCCCCGGTGGACGACGGCCTTGTTACAGTTAACAGGGAAAGAAACAGCAGCGGCATAATCAGCATCATAATCAGGTAGTGAGCACATGCTGCATTTCTTCTTCTCACACTGTTTGTCGACTTGTTGGACACCGTCAGTGTGTTAATAATAATACTCACTTATCTCACAGACGTTTATTCTCAGTGTTATGACCTGTCCTCCCTCCTCCTCCCTCGTCCTGCTGCACTTCTCAAATGTTTTTTTAATTGTTCGGAGCCGAGAGTGAAGCGAGCACTCAGCAGTCATCAGCAGCAGGAAGATGCACTGCAGTGAAGAAGATCTCAACCGGACGTAGACGACACAAACAGATGATGAGCTTGTGAGCAACCTGGGCCACTTAGTGTGAAGTTAACGCTCAAGAACGTGCAGCTTCCCCACTTGAAGTCTCAGTCATTCATTCTCTGGTCATTTCATTATCATAAATAAAACTTACTCATTCCAAGTACTAATTCATTTTTTTCCCCAGAACTCTTGTTTGATTCGACACCTCGTCTGTTCACCTGGTAGTGATTTAATAATGATTGAGGAGGGACTTTAAGCAGCGACGGCTACAGCGTGATGTGATGGCGTAGATTCTGTCAACATTTGGAGCTGTCCACCACTTTATCTTATATCTGAACGTCACAATATGTGGTTCAGACATTCGTGGTTCCCAGAGGACGAATCCTACAGACTCTGCTGATGCTCTGACGTTTCATCTAGCGCCATCATCAGGTCACATTTTCATTTGTCCAGTACTTTAACTTATAAGACCAAACAGAGTCCTGCAGGGAGGATGTAGGTTTGTAGACCAACCATGATGACAGCGTCACCCTCGTTTCTGATCCTGACAGGTTTAGTTCAGCAGGATCATCTTCACTAACGAACATCACTTTATGATGTTTGAAGCCTCTGTACAATCAGCAGAAGTGAAAAGTTAATGTTAGGCTATACAGCTACACCACAGTCACATGACTTCAACACCATGGTCACATGACGTCTCCATCACTAAACTTCAGCTCGCAGTTTGATTCAGCTCTGACTCTTCTACTGAAGCCGTTCCTCTGACAGTTAGGGACTGTAGAAACACAACCAGGCTGTAAAGGTGGACTGGTGAGTTAACCAGGCTGTAAAGGTGGACTGGTGAGTTAACCAGGCTGTAAAGGTGGACTGGTGAGTTAACCAGGCTGTAAAGGTGGACTGGTGAGTTAACCAGGCTGTAAAGGTGGACTGGTGAGTTAACCAGGCTGTAAAGGTGGACTGGTGAGTTAACCATTCATCTTCTCATTTAGACACTTGTTAGCAACCGAGACGTAAACTCGGACGTTGTAGAA